TCCCAACGCACCTCTGACGTGCACCGCTTCTGTCTGTCTGTCTGTCTGTCGATATGTTTGTCTGTCTGTCTGTCTGTCATTCTCCGTGGGCGCTGGGCCGACTGCGCCCGCCGCCGCCCTGCTGGCGCAGCAAATCCGACTGCGCGTTCCGCGCGCGCGACCCAGCAGCCAGCAGCAGCAGCAATGCAGCCGCCGCAGCCGCGAGGAAGGCCGCCACGTTCAAAAAAATGCCGGCCCCGCCGCCGCCGCCGCTGCAGCCACCCCCGCCAGCGCCTCTCGCGCCGATCCCTGCGCGACAGTGCACCCCGCCACCACGGCCAGCACCGTCGCCTCCGCGTCGCCCTCCATCATCACGTCGGTGTCGGGCGCCTGGCCCGCCGCAGCGCCGCCAGGCCCTCGGCCGCAGTCGCGCGAAGACGGCGCTTCGGCGGCGCCGCAGTCCGCAGGAGGCCCTCCGCCGCGCGGTAGGCCGCGCGGCACGTCGCCGCCCAGAGGCAGTCACCAGCCCAGCAGCAGCGTGAACAGTCATGAGTGCGTCGCGGATTGCTTCCGGCGCCGAGGGGCGGCCCCTCGTCGCACCTGGCACGGACCTGGCGGCGGCGGGGCCAGCAACGAGCGAGCTTGAGCCAGGACAACACTCGAGCCAACGTAGCAATGGTACTCTTGGTAGTCAGTGACCGATGCAAGCTCAGCCCGCCCTGCGGCCAGCGGCGGCGGACAGGGCAGCTGCTAACCCCCGCGCTCCGCCAACCAATGTATGTGAATATGTTCCCGCGTCATATGATACAATCTACTGTTGCAGCCCAATCGCACTGCGCCGCTGTCAACTTCGCAACGTGAAAGTCGGGAATCAGAGCGTCTCCGAGATAACACCCGTAAGAATCCGTGGCCCCGAACATCTGTCTGAAAGGACGCGAGTTCGGAATCCATTCGGCAGTGCTCCTGGATGGCCAGGATGCAGACCTCGTTGGGAAAAGTCTCAGGGCACCGCACCATTGATCCCCACCAGCGTATGTTAGTGGTACCGGGATGCCCCATAGAAAAAATATTGCCCACCGTGACCAATTTCATAGCCTGCTTACAAACACAACGGCTTCAACTTCGCCAGTTGGCCCCACGACGGCAAGTACCCCCGTAGCTGCTCGACAATGTGTCAATCGGGAATTCAAGTGCAAGGAAGCGTGACGACTGCTGCAGGTGACGCGCCAGCGGCTGTTGCTCCTTCTTGCACGGGAGCTCCCGCCGTATCAGTAGCCTGGGCGAAGAGCTCACGCAGGGCGCCGCCGACGTCAGTAGAAATGGTAACAGTTGCATCTTATGACAACATAACTCCACCACCAGCCTTGCAACAGGTTCCCCCGACAGAGGGAGACAATGACACAATGCGCACCCTCCGTAGCATCCTTCCCAGAAAGTCGGGGGCATGAACGATAGACTTCTGATGCTGGCCCACCTGCAACTCCTATTTCCGCGAGCGTATCAGCGGCCGATGTGTGCGTTTTCCTCGCATCATCAGGTGGAGCCTGTGCGACACGCAGCCAATCACGACGCCGATCGGCCTTGTTATGACAGCGTTATGGAAATTATCGCCGCGCGCCCGAGCTTGATTCCACCAGCCTAAGTGGTTGAACGCACTCGTTTCTTGTATCTTCCAACAAATATTTTTCCTCATGCTCGGGGGAGGGCTCTATCGCTGCTCCTTCTTAATGAACACCTCCTCCCCCACCTGATCGTGGGCCAACTCGGGACATGCCACCCCCCATCCCTACCAACAAACAGTATAGACTGCGTGCATGCGCGAGCGCCCCGAAAAAACTGCCTATGGGTCTTTGAAAGGGACGGCGGCGTTGCCGGCATGGTGTTTGTTGCGCACATGATGCGCGCAAGAAAACCGTCCCGGTCAAACAAAATGCATAATGCACTTTGCCTGCAAATCCAGAGCATGCGCGGGCGCCCGGGACCACTCGGCGGGCGCACCGCGACCATTCTGCATTGGCTTCCCCAAGCATCCTATGGTGTTGGGTCCGTGTTTTGAAAAGACATCGACGCGAATCACCTCCCGCCCTTTTTTTCTCCCTCCTCCTTCCTCCCCCTCCTCCCACTCAGCATGTGGACCCCCACCCAGAACAGCACTTCGTGGCCCCATAGGGAGCTCCACCGAAAATTCCAATGGTTGCGCCCGCACGTGTCCGCCACGCCCACCACAGCGCTTCGTGGCCCAATTGGGAACTCCACCGAAGGCCCCAAGGACTGTGCCCGCACGCGCCCGCCCCATCCAGAAAAAAACGTTGAGTGGCCCTATAAAAAGGGCTCCGCCGAAGGCCTCAATTGTTGTGCCCGCGTGCGCCCGCCGCATCCAGTACAGCGCTTCGTGGCGTTATAGGACATTTCACCGAAGGCCCCAGTGGCTGTGTCCGCATGCGTCCGCCACACCCAAAACAGCGCTTCGTGGCCCGATGCGGAGCTCCACCGAAAACCCCAGTGGCTGTGCTCGCACGCGTCCGCCACATCCAGTACAGCGCTTCGTGGCCCCATAGGGAGCTCCACCGAAGGCCCCAGTAGCTATGCCCGCATGCGTCCGCCACACTCAATAAAGCGCTTCGTGACCCCATAGGGAGCTCCACCGAAACCCCCAGTGATTTTGCCCGACCGCGTCCGCCACAGCCAGCACAGCGTTTCATCGGCCCGCCAGGAGCTCCACAAAAACCCAAGTGACTGCGAGAGAAAAGCTGACATGAAATATCCTGTCACTTAAGGGATAATATCATACATGTTGACTCATTGCGCTGTCCATGCCAGTGGTCGCCTCGTCCTGGGGATGGGCGTGGCATCGGTCAACATGTCTTCCTTGCCCCTCTTGAAGATACTCAGGCACAGGGCACAGCTCGCCGTAATCATCCTCGCACGCACGCATGGACAATCATCTTGAGATGAAGTAATCCAGCCACTCTTGCTCGTGACCCGCGGCACACTTGTCCAGAATGCTGAGGGGGAAGAAAGCCGGTCTTCCAAAAACCTTCCCTCTCGTGCACGATGTGGGCACTGAGCGAAGGCGCGGCGGAAACTGGGGGTCGGTGCCCCACCGGGCTTGCACGAATATCCTGATCTTCTGCGGGTCTCTGAGGTCGCGGCCCCTGCTCTGAAGACAGCCAGAAGTGCGCGGTCTTTTTCTCCCATGGGCCGGAACTGGTCGCCATGCACTTTGCTTGAGGACGCGTGGACATCGACATCATCAATCTCCTCTGCGTCGAACCTCGTGCGCACCACTAGTTGAAGACAACGGATGCGGGCGATGCCTCTGAGGGCGCGCTGGGCGGCTTTGCGGTTGGGGGTGAACCGCCAGTCGTCGCCCGCGAGCTGCTCGACTGCATCGCGGATCCTGAAACCGCCGTGCGAGTCAACTTGTAGAACTGCGCCCGGCGTGGGCGAATATCGGACAAGGGATCGCCCCAATGCCCGCGCGTACTCTGAGAGCGCGGTGCCCAGGAAGTCACCCCAAACCAATCTCTCATCAATCAAATTTTGAAATCCCAGAATAGCTGCGGAGTGCTCAGGATGTAACAAGATATTATGTGCCCAGTAGCGACCAAAGCACACCAGTTTGAGCTCGTTCTCCACAGAGCTCTGCACAATGACCTTGCGAAGCGTCTTGGTGGCGGCGTCGCGATAGGCAGCGCCCATGTCCGCGGAGGCCTCGCGCATGCGAATGCCAATGTGAGTCTTACTTGCTGACTGCCAGGGATGACCCTGAGCACGGATATGGCGGTCTCCAGCTTTCTGCCAGCCGCCCCTCGGGATGATGGGGGCAGCGTGGTCTGCGGGAGTTGCAAGAATACCGAAATGTTCCACCTGGGCGGGCAGAGGGTCGTCGATGCTCCAGCGTTGTCTCGTGCTCCGATTCTCACAGTATCCGATGGACATGTCGAACTGCTGGGTCATCTGCAAATCCGCGCCGAATTCTGCGCAACCGAACGTCTATCATCCATGGAAGCGTGACCTTCCGACGTCGGTACTCATGGCACCGGTGTCGATATGAGCGCGCATGGGGCCGTGCTGTCGCCCTGAGGTAGGCCTCTGCACGGGCCCAGTGGCGGGGCAAGCCCGCCCTGGATGCCGCAGATCCTCGGGCCCTTCCACGCAGCGTAGCATGTGCGCATAACAGCGCATGGCACGGCTGAGTGGTCAGCCGCCCCCGAAGCCAGGTCGTGGCCCACCTGGTCGAAGGCCGCCGAGAGGTCCATCTCAGCGCCGCACTGGCCTTCAGAGCAATATTTCAACCACTTGGAAACTGCATGCGCCACCGATGCATGCCTCTGGCTGGCCCACTGCAGGTCTGGCGGAGAAGCTGAGGCCGCCGCAGGCGCCCGTAGCCAGGCGCGCAACAGCACGGATTCCACTGAGATGGGACGGGTAGCTTCTTCGCTCTGTGGAATGCCTGCCACGCGCAAGGGAGCCATTGCGCGCAGCACTTCCTGAGGCAACCGCCCTCGTAGTTCAACTCCTTCTGGCGACGTCATAACCCGCAGCTCGTACAACTCCTCGATGACGGCGGGGTAGATCTTCTCCAGCGCCTGCAACTCATGACTTGTCCAGCCGTCGAGCACTGGGCAATGTTTAGCTTGGCGGGCTGCAGCCGCGAAGATGTCGAGCGACGGCATCCAGTCCTGTGGGCGTGTAGACTTCGGGAAATGCTGCCTCCAGGCGGCGACGTAGCCCGTGTTGTCGTAGTTCTCTGGCTTCCAGTGCTTGGCCCATTGTTCGTGCATATATGCTGCAGCATGGGCTGGCGCTGGTTGGCCCCCCTTGAAGAGCGGGGTCGCCGCTTTCCACGCTTCGTTGCTCCCGCTCGCGAAACGCTGTCGCCACTGTGCGGTATTCCTTTTCTGCATCTGGATGTGCTCAGCAGTGATATTCTGGGAGATCCAATCCAGCGCGCCCGAGGAAGTAGGTCTGCCAACTGCAGTATCCTGAACCAACCCGTCGAAAGCTGCGGCAGCCAGCTGAATGTAGTGCTTCGACTCCAGCTGGGCGCAACCTGGAGCTCCTTGGCGAAGGTGTTCTGCAAAACGATGTAGTCGTCGGAGCCGTCCCAGTGCCATGGTCTCGTCAGGTCTGCGGGGTGGCGAGCGGGGGTCGGGCGCGAGGTAGGCTGCGAGCCTATGTCACGTTCCGCTTCGCATTATACTGAGAGCAGCCCACGTTCGACTGCCACTCGCAATGCCTTCTCCGCCCTCTTGTGCCAGTATTGCCAGCGCTCAACCACCGGTGGGTCGGCGGCGTCGTTCAGGCAGCGGGGCGGGCCCACCTCCTGGCCAAGTAGTTCTTGAAGTAGTTATTTCTCCCCGTCGTTGGCGTCGCGCTCTGGCGCACGAGGCCGCGCGTCTCAGACGGGCGGGCGTCGGATTGACATGAGTAATGTTCAGCGCGTACCCCGCCGAAGCACGATGAGGGATGCCAGGTAACAAATGCGTCGCGATCTGCCCAGGTGCAGCTCCTTCTCTCCCCAGAGAGGCTCTCGTTGGACAAGTGCCCGCTGCTGTGGCGGGGGCCCCCGTGCCCTGTCGCACCGCCCACGCGCGCCATCGCGTGGTCAAGGCCGAGTAGAGAGGGCGCCAATTGAGATCACTAATAACGTAGACAGGGTGGCCCATGTGTCCCAGTGATTGGAAATGCTCGAAGGCGTGCTGGAACCAACCTCTGTCGACGTCCACGGGGCCGTAGACGGACAGGAAGGTTGCAGCGGCACAGCGTGCCCCGACCATGCGGCGGCCGAGGTCCTCGCGGCGGAGGACGGTGATCTTGCCGAGGGAGCGGCGCCCAAAGGATAGCGCAGCCTCCCTGTCGCACTGCCCCCCGAGCCTGTGTCGGCGGTGAGTCTGAACAGGCAACGCCCCACCCGAAGCTCATAGCGTTTTGGATATCAATCGTGGTCGGAGTTCGCGGTGTCGCATCTCCTGGAGGCATGAGACTGTCGCCGTCGATGCTGGTAAGGTCTCCAGGATGGTGATCAGCCTTGCTTTGGAAATGCCGGTGGCATTGATGGTGCATGCCTCGGGCTTGGTGGAATCTGAGCCTGGGCCTCCCGTCGCGAAAAACTCATCGGAGTCCAGCTCCTCCTCCTCCTGCTTCCGTCGCGCGTGCTGCGCCTGACTTCGGCTCGAGGAGCACCCGGTTCAGGACTTGAGCTTCCCCCAGCATGTGGCCGCCCAGCATGTGGCGACTGGGCCTGGGAAGCAGACGTCGGCAAAAGCCAGTCGCGACCAGGACTTGCGCTCTTTGCGCCAGAACTTCGTGGATTGGCAGCGGGGGGCCCAGAAACGGATCCCTTGCCAGCGCGTTCTAACACCTGTGGTCCAGCACGTGGCAGCGGTGCCTGGCTCGGGCTCGAGGGGCACCCGACACCAGGACTTGCGTTCTGAACTTCAGGTTTGCGTGAGCTGGCAGGAGGGGGATCGAGGGGGCCCCTTGCCAGTGCGTTCTGACTGGGTACCTGCGGCCGTGGAGGTGCCAGTAGGCGTCGGCGGTGATGTGGGTGAACTCGTGGCTGCAGCGCCCGTGGCCGAGGCGGTGCAAGTAGGTGTAGTCCGTGACAAGGGTGAACCCGTAGTCGCAGCACCTGAGGCCGAGGCTGCACAGGTAAGCGTAGGCAAAGGCAAGGTTGAACCAGTAGCCGAATCCCGCGAAGTGCGGGCACGTTTTGTCGTCGGCGTGAGACTCGAAGGGCGCGCAGGATCTGCATCGGGAACTTGGTGTACATGCTCTGTGCCCACTGCAAATACAGCTTTTGCATTCGGATCTGCAAATACAGCGTTTGAATTCTGTGTGGCGCGACGTGCTTTTTTGGGTGGTGGCTCGTTCGGCTGGTCCGATGGGCGTGAACCTGTAGCCGTGCCCGCAGATGCTCAGGGGCGTCGCGGTGCCGTAGTGCTTGCTTTAGTCTTCTGTCTCTTGCTTGCTGGCGTCGGCCCCCGTGAGGAGCGCCCTCCGCACAGGAGCGGGCCCCGTCAACATGAGGTCGGCATGGCGTGGGCCGCAGGCTTCCTGCACGCCGGCGCGCGCTTGCACGCCGTCGGCAGCCCCTGAGCTTCGCGACGTAGACTCTCTTTGCGATCGTACTGCTTCCGACCGTAGCGCTTGTAGGACTCGACGTAGTAGCCTGGAGACATTGAGGCCTTCTTCTAGTGCTGTTTCACCTGTCTGGCGGAGTCGGCGACTGGCTCCTCGGCAACTTCGCCCCCCACGAGTCTGGCCAGGCCCATCTGGAAGGCCACTCCCTCTGGGCGCCGCTTGCAGGGGTTGATGCGGAACTTGGCAAGGCAGAGCTGCCTGCCGCACTAGATGCAGACGTACTGTGTGTTCATCATACGCTTGTGCTGCACGCTCCTGGCCGAACCCTCTCCAGGGCCACAGGTGACCTCGAGCTGCGCGGGTGTGAGTTCGGCCCTCCAGAGCTGGAGGGGCCCCCATGCTTTGTCCCTCTTGGCCTTGCTCATGGCCGCGGCACTTAGCCCTCCCTTGCCCAGCCGATGTTGTCGTGCATATGCTGGTTCCTTGGGTGGGTCTTTTCCCTGGCAGATCCGCCAGTGCTTCTTGACCTCCGTCCACCTCTGCTGGTTCGTCTGGAGCGGGCCGGGGGCCCATTCGCCGCATGGGCAGCGCCGGCGCTTGCGTGAAACGGGCAATGTCGGCAAAGGAGACGGCGTAGGACTGCGATTCAATATGCTTTCAGTTCGCCTGGGCGAAATGGGTCTGGTCTTCGGCGCGGCGATTCCAAAAATACTCTGCGCCCATCGCGTCGAAATCGAGTTCCGCGACGGCGTCGGGGCATCAACCGTAGCCATCGCCGCAGCTGAAGATAAGGAGCTCGATGGCCGGGACTCCTTTGGCGCTGGTGTCGGAGGATCAGCACGGTCAGCTCGATCATCACGAGGTCCAGCCTTCTTCTGAATAGTCTTCCCCCCGCCCGTGAAGTGGGGTTATGGACCGGCGTTGTTTCTCCATTCGGCTTCGACATCGGGAGGTGCAGGGGCTGTTCCAAACAGAAATGGTACATGCTCGTCAACCGAGGTCATCCAGCACTTGTGCTTCGTCTTGATCGCGGCGGGCGCTGAGCACAGTGTCCACCCCGTACCTTGCATGTTCAATATCAAGAAATCGCATGCGACTGCTGCCGCCGATGCCTTGGTGACAGGGGATGTAGCATACGTCTCCGCCTTGGCCTGGACATCCGCGCCCTTCCGCGGAAACTTCTGCTTGGGCATCTCTGCTGCAACCTTCGCTTGTGGCGCTACCTGGATTTTCCCGCCCGGGCCTAGGTCGGCCTCCGTCGGTAGCTTCTCACCAGCCTCGCCTCCCGAGGGCTGGAGAGTGTTGAAGTAGTAACCCGCCGAGACATAGAAGCAACCCCCCTTGCCTCCACACTCTCGTCGCTCGAAATATGCCCCCCATGGAGCTTTGGCTGGCGTGGTCTGCTTAGCCTCCTTGGACCGAGGCTCGCCGTCACCGCTGCTCTCCGCGTTCGTCATTGCTGCGTCGCCGTCAGCTTCTGCCTGGGCCGCCTGTGGCGTGGCTGTGGGTGCTTCTGGCTGGTGTCTGGCGCGGCTCGGGGTGCCCCGGGCTGTCTTGGGTGACTTCGTCGGTGCTTGCCTGGAGTTCCCGCGCCGCCGTGCTGCCAAGCTCGCCATCACCCCTGATTTGATTTCCAAAACTCTGCCACTTCCCAACTGGTCAAGATCGGCGCGGATGAACCAACGCCTCGGGCCGCAACGTGCAACGCTGTTGACATTCTTGAAACCACGATCAAGTGCCCAAGCTTTAACTTATTATTCTCCTTCTTGGGGCCATGATGCGGGCGGGCGTTGGAGGAGCCATCGAGGTCGCATATCCGCCGTCACAACATTGGCCGAGCTCACCCCGAAGGAACTGTTCTCCGATGGTCGGTACACGAGTCGTCCTGCTGCCGCCTTGGCGGCTGCCTGAACCCTCTTGAAGCAGTCCGCGGCCTGCTCATCATCCCTGAGCCTACGCCGCGATGGTCCCAGGAATGCCCCCTGGCGATTGAGACATACTCCATCTGGTAGAGAGTACTGCATGATGTCCTCAATGTGGGCCGCCTGTGCGATGAGCATCGCCGCCACCTCGGTCTCGTACGCCACCGCCCCCGTAGTTTTGAGGATTTGCTTTGTGAGGCCCGCGCCCAGGATGAGCGCTGGCAGGGCCACTGGTTCCCCCCTGCTTCTGCCTAGAGCCAACCTGGTGCATAATCACGGGCAACTGCGATCCTCACTGCAATCGGCGCGTCTGTGGGGGCTGGGGCCTCCACATCATCCTTCAACCCTTTGGGTAGTCCTGTCCTCTTAGGGGCCTTCCGGCCCGTGCGTAGAATTCGTGCTGGTACCAAAGTGGCTCCCCCAGCTTTGGCCTCGACCGCGACGTCGATGTTGCCCCAGCCGTCGGGTTCGAGTGGCCTCTTGCTCCAAGCCGCTCCACTACACTGTCGTACTCTCTCTTCCCCTTGCGGGCGATAACTGGTGGCGCCTGTGGGTCGTAATCCTTGTCTTTGATACGAGCCGCCTGCCGCGCCGCCGACGATCCCCATGGGTGCTGGAGCAGCATGTATGATGTATTAGGCGACGCCGAGGCACTTGTCCGCGCGCCCTTTGCCGCAGCACGTTTGTCAGTCTTCTTGGTCTTGCTTGAGCTGTCCTCAAGCAGGTATGTGAGTGTCGCGATCATATCCTTGTGGGTCGGAGGCTGATCTCGCTCGTCCGGTTGGCGAATGAGACGCTTGAGTCGTACCAGCAGGCGTGGATCCCGTCGCCTGTCGGTCTTCTCAGTGAAACTGTCTGGTGATCGATGTTTTGACTGCACCTTGGATACTCGATTGCCCCCGCGAGCTTGGCCCGCCAAGTCCCGCAATCGCTTTCCTCCGAGAACCAGCTGGGTCAGCACCGTCGCTCTGTCGTTCCCCCGACGCCATTGCGAGTACATGCCACCATGT